ATTTTGAATGGCCAACACCATCGCCACCACCATATGTAGCAAGCAACAAGGCAGGAAAGCAAGAGGAGGAACACACACACAAAGGAAGAGCAAATCACAAAAAAATAATAATACGTTGGCTGTTTCAAAAGGCGGAAGCAAAAGGAAGTTTGATGAAAAGTTCAACATTGAAAAGGAGGAACGGGTAAGTCTGCTGTAAGTAGTCATTTCCTCAAATAAAGCATGTTTATTTTCCCACCAAGTATTTTCAGGCAAGGAAAGAGGATAACAGTTTGTGGCTGTTGTTGTGGGGTGGTAACTAAATATGCCAACAGTGACGTAGCCAGAAATGCATTTGGAAACCATTTGAGATATAACCCAACTGGCAGGGAAAGAGTGAAGTAGTTTCTGTGGGGTGGTAACTAAATATGCCAACAGTGACATACACAGAAATGCATTTGGCAACCATTTGGGATATAACCCAACTTTCAAGGAAAGCCAACAGTGGCGTATCCAGAATTGCATTTAGCAACCACTTGCAGTAGGACCTAAATGGTAAAAAATTAACTTTCTCTTAAAAATTAAAGCAAAGCATTAAAGCAAACATTTCGAAGAGTTCCAGGTCCCCCCCCCCCTTGCATACGTCCCTGTCTTCGAAAGACGTCTTTGTGCAATTGTTGAATATTAAATGCAATAAACGCCAAGATTGCAACTGCAAGCAAGGAGTATGGCCAGGAGGTGTATTTGCTTTCTAGTTTTTTCTCCTTTTTATGTTTGCTTGACAGTTCTCCTTTCCCATCGCTACGTCCTCTCGTTTTCTTGTTTGCCCAAGTAGTTCCAAGTAAAGCTAATAAAATAATTTTTTGCTATTCTTCCGTTTTTATTTTATATTTCTCTTAGTTTGTCATCCTTCCAAGTGAATGGATTCAATCTGAAAAGACCGAACGACCGACCGATAGACCATGTTTATAAAAAAGCTTAAGATGAGTTGCAGAGAGGATATACACGTTGTTATCAAGCTCCAGTAATTGCATTGTAAAGCATTTACTTTAAATTTTATTCTTCGTAACGAAGATGAGGAATTGAAAAAACTCCTAAACGTAGCAGATTTTGTATCGAAGATGAGAAATTTAATAAGCAGAACGAAGAGTTGGGAATAGAAGAAAATACTATTCTCGGAAAAGTAGTAACGATCTTTAACCTAAAGTAGAGGTATAGAATACCTGCTTTTCTAAACGAAGAATTCTCTATGAAGGTATTTTAACCAGAGAAGACGCTGGTATGGCCTACCACTAATAGAATAGAAGAATTTCAAGATCGCGAGGAAGGTTTTCCCCACTGAATTTATTCCATTTCAAAAGACTATTAGAGGACTCTCTTTGCATAAAAGGCTGAATAGACAGCCATAGAACCATTTAGGATTAATTTATAGAAAGAACCCTTTTCTTTCTGTGTACCGAAGGTGACGAATTGAATAATCAGGAGGAAGGGTTGGCATGGAACACATTTTTGTTGGACTCCCAAAAGTGGAAGACTTTATGATGGGGTATCTTTCAGAGAACACTACAGAGGGGCTCTCATTAATAAAATATATTCAGGATCATTTAGAAAAGCGTCTCGCTACTAGAGCTATATTTCTTTATTCGAAGAAAATGAGGAATTGAATAAGATGAGGAATTAAATAAGTAGGAAAAAGAAAAATTTATGTAAGAATATAATTTTCAAGGAAAACTCTCTATCTCTCGGTCTTGTATCCAAAGGTAAATATTGAACGTCTTTTGATGGACTTCTAAACGTAGACTTACATAGATTTCCCTTTCAGACTTCTAAACGTAGACTTACAAGATTTCCCTTTCAGAGAATACCTACAAGGTCTTCCATCAATCTTCTATTGAAGATTATTTAGAAAGTTTTATGTAGTAGATATCTTCCACCCCAAACGACCTTTCGCATTTGAGTTGAATGGAATAAACAAGAGTCTTCATCCTGCATGCGAAAATAAATAATTTCAAGGAAAACAAGTACTTTCATACAAAGAAATACTTAAATGGGCTTCTATTAATAGAAGACTTTCAGGACCGTTTAGAAAGATTTCCAAATATAAAAATACCTTTTAATGATTAATTTTATTGAAAGAAGTTTTTTATTTCTCCGCGTCGAAAATTGGAATTGAATAGGAAGAAGGTGTGGAAGAACATAATTTGCAAGAAAAAGAGAGAGAGAGAGAGAGATAAGGAGACCATTGACGACATTTTGACGGGTTTCTAAACTTTACGGGATGGTCTTTCATTAATAGCAGTCTTTCAATATCATTTAAGTGTTCTCTTTCATAGATACAAGCGCTTTCATAGATACAAGTCATTCTAAAGGTGTGCTCTGGTGGAAAACGTTTGGAAGGGTATACAGTCTAAAGGTTTCTAGACAAAAAAGGTCGCCTGGAAGTCTTCTGGCAGGAAAAGACTCTCTAGTGGTGGTCTATGTAAAAAAAATCATCAGAGGGACTTCTATGGAAAGAAGGACTCCATGACAAGAAAACAGTCTAAAAGTCCTCATGGGAAATAAACCTCCCAAGGTTTTAGAAGGAAGACCGCCTAAAGATCCTCTTAGAAAGTAAAACTTCTAAAAATCTTCTATGGGAACAGACAGACAGAAGACTGTTTAGAGTTTTTTATTGAAAAAGACCTCTTCATGGAAAAACAATCTTCTAAAGGTCTTAGAAATAAACTGTTCCTCTGTGGTAGAAGGCCTCCCAAAGATATTCATTAAAAAAGATCAAATTTTGAAATAGACCTTAAAAATGTCTCCTGAAGAAAACTATTGAAAGGTCTTTGGAAAGAAGACCGTTCGAAAATCCTCTACTATAGAACTTCAATAAAAATAAGGCCTTTCATATGTCGTCCATAAATAGAAACTATAGGAAAAAGAGCTTCAGTGTTCTTTTTTGACAAGAAGATTCTCTAAAGACCTTCATTGGAAAAACAAACCTTGGGAAAAAGGCCCTCTGCAAAGGTCTTCTTCGAAAGAATGTTTTTCAAAAAATGTCTGTAGGAAAAAAAGAAGACCCCTTTGGGAAAACACCTTCTAATGGCCATCAAAAGAAACAAGAATTGCAGAAAGTAATGTATGAAAATATGACCTTCTAAGGGTCTTCAAGTAAAAATTATATTCGAAAGGTCTCCGGAAAGTAGATCGTCTGAAGTTCTTCTATGAATGAATACCTTTTAAAGATCTTCAATTAAAAAATGATTTTCAAAGGTTTTCCATGCAGAAAGAAGACCTTTGGGTTCTTATGTGGGAAAAAGGTATTTAGAAGGACTTCTGTGAAAAGAAGGGTCTAAAGATTTTTGAAAAGAAAACCCTCCGAAGAGGTCTTTAATAAAAGAAGGATTTCTAAACATCTACTGTGGAAAAAAGTCTTGCAAAGGAAGACCAAAATAAGACCATCAGACCTTTTAAAAGTCTTCTTTGGCAAAAAACGAAATTGAAAGTTTTTTTAGGTAAACAAAAATATATTGAAAGTCCTTTATGCCTCTTTCCATAAAGGACTGTCTATATGTCTTCTGTAGAAAAGAGATCCTCTAAACGTCTTCTATAAAAAATCTTTCATCTTTTCCTAAAGATGGAAAATCTTGCCAAGGTTAACTAAGAAAATACACCTTATCAAGGACTTCTATGGAAAGACTTTTTAAATTTGTTTTGTGGAAAGGTCCCTCATGGAGAAGAACTTTTAGGTCCTTTATGGTAATAAGACAAATTAAAAATCTTCTACGGAAAGAAACTCTTCTTTTACGGATAGAGAACTTTCTAAAAGCCTTCCTTGGCAAAGATCAAAGGTCTTCTATGGAAATAAACCTTCAAAATGTATTCCTTGATTATATGTCTTTTAATAGGTCTTCCGTGAATGGAAGATAGAAGACCTTCTAAATGTCCTCTAAGAGGGAATAACTTGAAAAGGTCTTCTATCAATAATATAAGTTTTAGAAATCTTCTGTTGAAAATAGAAGCTCCAAAGAGGTTTTGTTTAAAAAAAGTTATTCTCTTGCAAAAAGGAACCTACACATTTTCCTATTGAAAATGGAAGCACAAATGTTTGCTTTTGAAAATAGAAGAACTAAGGATCTTCTAGTGGAAATAGAAGCCCTTCTATTGGAAATGGAATTTCTAAAATTTGTCTATTGAAAATAAAATCCCAAATTGTCTCCTATTGAAAATGGAAACCGAAATGAAGCCTATTGCAAATTGAAGAGCTCAAGTTAAATGTTTGCTCATGATAATAGAATCCCTAAGGATCTTCTATTTCTATTGAAAATAGAAGCTCCAAAGGTCTTATATTTAAAGTTCGGCCGGGCAGAACTTTTAATACCCTCCACTTTTGGGTAAAGGAAAAAAAATATATAAAATTATCTGAATTGAAACGTGTTCCGTTCCGTGTTCAAAATAAAATAGCAGTAACACCGTTTGGATAATGCTGTTAAACTTTTCAAAAAACGTGGACCTAAACATTCAATATTCTGCTACCGGAGCTGGAACCCATTGTGAACTACAAATACCAATTTTTTTAGACAAATCCACGGAAAAATGTGGCAAAAATCATCAAAATACCGAATATCGGGAGGTACCGTTATATGGAGGCTATACAAAAACGTGGACCGATATTTTACATATTCAATACCAACCACCCTACACACAATACAAATTGTTTTGCCAAATTTTATAACTCTACGTCAAAGAATTTGGGCCTTGCTTTGAATCCTGATTTGAACAGACAGACGGACGGACTTAGAATTGTATGCTGATCATAAATATATACACTTATAGGGTCTGCGACGAATATTTCGGGATTTTACTAACGGAATGACAAAGTTAATTTACCCTCCTCTTCAAGGTTGAGGGTATAACAATCGTTCCACTTAAAACCTTTTAGGAGCTCTACTTTTTAAGGATACGAGGCTTTCCTTTCTAATGTGAACCTCTTTAATTACATTTTTGAGATTTTTGAGTAATCTTAATTTAGAACTTACCCCCCAAGACCTCTTCGTTTGGTGGATGATGTCAGCGGATCTGGTTTACTTCGATTGTTGGCTAGATTTTTTTTTTGGAAAAGAAAACATGAAATAATTAAAATCTCAATTCAAATCCAAATAAAATACCCTCCACTTACTTTGATCCTGCAAATTGTTACTCTCACTCTTGTCTTTGCGCGATGAGCTCGACTTGTGGGAACCGGGTGGGGGTTTAAGTATGGAAACGGGGACCAAACCCTCTTGGACCGCAGCATCATCACATTGAGGATTGAGACGGACCAAACAGAAATCGGGTTCATTGGCTGTGGGTGCTTCGAGAATCTCCACCTGTTGGCCCTTGGTAACGCTGAGTTCATTGGAACCGGCGGTTGCTATGTAATCGGCTGTTACCCAAGTTGCTTCATGGGAGCCAATCTGGAAAAAAGGAGAAGAAGAATGAATAAAATTAATAAAATAAAAAAAACAACAAAATCAATAATTATTGGAAAAAGCAGAATTTAATCACATGCACCAGTGATTCTCATCAAAAGGAATTATGTCGTTCCTTGCTTTTTGCACAACATATTAGATATGGAGATTTTTTTTTTTTTTTTTTTGATTTGAATATTGTTTTAAATATAGAAATTACATATACATATGCACATGTGGCTTAGGTACAGGGTGAGATAAAAAAAAAAACTGCAACAAAGTCAAATGCCATAATTTTTACAATTTTTTTTTTTTTTTTTTAATTGAAAGGAAAAAATGTCGGAAATAGCATCAAATTTTAGAATAAGTTTAGATTTGTTCGAATTGGTCACCTTTGGCACAAATTATGGCCTTCAAACGGCCAATGAAACCGTCACACGCTGCCCGAATTTTGCTCTGCGATTTTTTGGCCCATTCCCGGTGAAGCGCTTGCTTGAGGTGATCGGCACTTTGGTATTTTTAAGTGCCAACCTTGGTTTCCAAAATACTCCAGACACAATAGTCCCAAGGATTGGTATCCGGAGATTTTTAGTGGCGCTTGAAATGAAGCGAGGAACCTCATTTTGTAACCATTCTTGGGTGGCGCGGTCTGAATGCCATGGTGCTAAGTCCTGTTGGAATATCCAAGGTCTGCGGCCAAAATGTTTGAGTGCCCAAGGCTTTAATACACCCTCCAGAATATTTTCGCAATAATATTCGGCATTTGTTCTGATGTCACGGTCGATTAATACGAGCGTAGAGCGACCATTGGCTATTATGGCGGCCCACACCATCACCATGGCCGGCGCTTGAGTTTTGGTGGCCAACCGAAGGGTCAGATTTTCAGCTGACCTCTTTGGGAAAGTAAACACGATCATTTTGTTTTGTCTACAAACTGCTGGGCAACGAATGTTTTCTCATCGGAGACGGAGAAAATCAAATTCGGCAGTTCACCACTTTCGGCCAAGCGAAGCGAAGCAACTCTTTAGCTATGCAGCTCCAGTGTGGTCTGCAAATACTAGTGCTACGCAGTGGAAGCACATCCAGACCTGCCGGCAGCGTTCTGCCCTGAGAACTGCGACAGGGTGCCTTCTCATGACACCAGTGGATGAGGCGAAAGTCCTTCCCTTACGTCAGCATAATCATATGCTAATGTGAGAGTCATCCCAACCATATTATGGTGGATAATTGAGATGGACCACCCAGGCATGTCAGGAAGGGCATGCATGATCTAGACAGGGAGGTCCAAACGCTACAAGAGAGAACCTCAAGATCAGAAGTCTATCAGGCAGGTCTGAATGGCATTCATACCGATACAGTCGCAGATACTATTAGCAACCCTCCACCCCCCCCCCCCCCCCAACCATTGCAGCTGAAGAACGTCAGCTGCCTAGGGCACGAATTGATGAAGATGTGCGTGACGTGACAGGCCCGCACGATACGCTGCACCTCTTTAATGGTACAGCCAAACCTACCCAACTTACTACAGAAGATCTCTGGCTACAGCCCATTAAAATGGCCGAATTTCTAAACCTGGCGCTGGAACCAGATTAGCAGAACGCAAACAGTTGCATGTACTACTGCTACAACAACAACAACTCTTTACCTCTTTTGAGTCTATTTTCTTTCCGGTGCGGTGTAAGTTCTTGTTCAGCTCACGAGCCATTTTTCGGCCATTTGGGACGCGGGTTTCGATCAAGTCGCTTCTTTACTTTTCGAACCATTTCTGCTGATGTGGCTGTTTTCTTCCGGCCACTTCATTGACATATGTCGGACTACGCTACCAGTATCACGTAATCGGTAACGAGCGATGGTACGAGACACAAAAGATTTTTTTAAATTTAAATTCTGGAGTACTCTAACGATAGCCACTTGTGGTTTACCAGCCAAATATAACGAAATCACCCTGTCACGCTTGAATTCGATCGCGAAGAACTTTTTTTCTGGAAAATTCTGACCAAAATGCTGTTGTATGCTTGTAAACAATATAATGAGCTATCACTGGAATAATTTTAACAGCCGTCGGACGAGTGGCTAAGAAATGACAGCAGACTGCAGTTGGTTGCAGTTTCTTCATCTCACCCTGTATGTATGTATTTCTGTACATAACCAAACCAATATGTACATATTCATATATCACTGTCACAGCCAGCCAGCCAGCCATATATCCAAGATATCCATTTACATAAAAAGAACTGATATCCTCCTCCTAACGAAATATAAGTGGACGGATGGATGGCTGGGTGGGTGGCTGCTTGGTCTCCAGCCATTGGCTGGCAACAATAACGTGTCAACATGTTAATATTTCGAAAAAAAAGTTGAAATAAAAAAGGATATTGAAATTTATCAACTCTGTGACAAATATATTCAAACACTGGCAGACAGACCGACACGGATACGGACACGGACACTTATCCTTACAGACAAGAGCTGGTCTAAGTCGTGTGGGTGTATGGGCTGAATGAATGGGCGGCTGAGAGCCGAGAACAAAAAAAAAAAAAAAAAAAAACGAATGAAAGAGGCACGTGTTGTCATCGACACATCAGAGGATACCAGACCAGACCATATCCATCCACAAATGCATACAGGCAGGCAGGCAACTTAATTCTGTGCTGTCATGCCTTCAATTAAGCTGCTGTTTGTTGGCGTTATTGTCATTGTTGGTGTTGTTGTTGCTGCTGCTGTTATAAACATCTTTAATCGATTCTAATCGAGGACACCACTTAATTTGACAGCCAAGAAGAAGGACATTCGTTTTGTGTTGTTTTTTTGTAAATTGAAAGGTTTGGATGAAAGGACTTTAAGTGGAGGGGTAATTTTTCCAGGATTGTAATACATTTTTTCTAGCATTTCCGGATTTGAGATGAGAGACTACAGTTAAAAGTTCTGCTTTGGACTGGAGGAATCGAGAGTTATAATTTAAGGAACAAAATTTTACATTTTACATTTAGCATTTTTGTAGTATACTTTTAGGCGCTCCCAATAATTTTCAATCTATGAAAGTGTGCCTTCCAAGGGTCTGCTACAAATGGAAGATCTTTTATATTTTTCCAAAAGAAAAGAAGACTAAATCTGTTCTGCAGAAATGTATCCCATCGAAACGCAACTTTTAAGATCCTTATTGGAAATATGACCTTCTTCAGGTATTCTACGAAAAGAAGATCTCTAACAAGGATTTCTACGAAGAAAGGACGTTTTAAAGGTCTTATACGAAAAAAGAGGAAAGAACCCTGTATCATATAGGCTTTAATACACCCTCCAGAATATTTTCGCGATAATATTTGGCATTTATTCTGATGCCACGGTCGATTAATATGAGCGGAGAGCGACCATCGGCTGTTATAGCGGCGCATACCCACACCATCACCATGGCCGGCGATTGAGTTCTGGTGGCCAACCAAAGGTGCACATTTTCAGCTGGCCTCTTGGGCAAGTAAACACGATAATTTTGTTTGTTTACAAAGAATGTTTTCTGATCGGAGAAAACCAAATTCGGCAATTCGCCACTTTCGGCCAAGCGAAGCAACTCTTTAGATCTCTTGAGTCCATTTTCTTTCTGTTGCGGTGTAAGTTCTTGCACTTTTTGGAATTTCATTGGCTTTATTCCGAGCTTATTTTTCAGTATTTGCCGAATGGAATATTGCGATATGTTCAGCTCACGAGCCATTTTCCGGCCACACCATTTTGGAGGATCTTGAAAAATTTAAAAAAAAAATCCGTCGAATAATATCACTTAAATGAAATCCGTTATATGGATAATATACGAAGGCGAGGACATATATAGCCAATTCTCTTCAAGGGGGTGAAGCACTGAGGAGCAACTTCAGGTGTTGATTTTCAGACAGTTCCATTGCAACTGTTGGTTAAAATAATCAAAATACCGAATATCGGGAGGTGCCGTTATATGGGGGCTATACGAAGACTTGGACCTGCACAGACAATTTTCTGTCATAGGCTGTAGTATCCATTACGAACTTCAAATACTAAATTTGAAACAATTCCGGTGAATAATGTCGCTAAAATCATCAAAATACCGAATATCGGGAGTTGCCCTTATATGGTTGCTATACCAAAACGTGGATCTACATGGCCCCTTTTCAATACCAAAAGTCTTGCATTCGAGTAACATCTTATCAACCTACTTCATTTCATTTAGTTTCAGGATATTTGTAGTCGATCTAGCGGGACATTTGTAGTCGATCTATCCGTCCGTCTGTCTTTGTCTGTCTGGCTGGTGCGCACAATAACTCTCGAAGGGAGTATCCGATTTGATCCAAACTTGGTACATCGTAATATCATTGTCAAACTTAGATCAAGTTCGGAGATTGGAAATATCGGTCCACTCCTTCTGGTACCTCACCCCCAAAAGGTCGAATTTTTCAAAAAAAAAAAGTATTTTACTGCCCAGAAACTTTGCAAATTCTAATATTTGTATTAGTGCAAGATATTGTGTGCAGATGGAATATATCGGTCCACTCCATCAAGTACCTCCCCCACAAAGGGTTAACATTTTGAATAAGTATAACTCTCATAAAATATGATGTCAATGTCGGATTGTCTTCAAATTTCACATATCGTTATATTTTTATTAACACAAGGTTCGGTACGAAGATGGAATATACCGGTCCACTCCTTCCGGTACCTCCCCCACAAAGGGTCAAAATGTTGAATAGCCATGAAGCTCATAAAACGCAAAGTTAACATCCGATTCCATTCAGACTTGGCACATCTCAATATTTCTATCAACACAAGATCTACTATGAACATGGTAGAGACCGGACCATTTCTTCTGGTCCTAATATAAAGTATAACACGTCCAAATATCAGACTTAGGTCAAATACGAATTAGACAATATTGGCCAACAGCGTCGGAACCTCCCCCATAAAAAGGTCACCAGTTAGAATACTCATAACACAAGGCTGGGGTATATATCTGTTGGCAAAACCGTCTGGCACTATTTTACTTGTTTTCAAAAAAGAGTTGATGAGCGCCTAAGAGTATGCAATAAAAATGTTAAAGAAACCAATTTACATATGACTCGAATGTGATGTGTGTAGTTGCTTTAAAATTGAAACATTATTCGATATAGTTTCGAGAAGAAAAATATCGATACCAACTTAATCCCTGAATTGTTCTTCTAATGCCTTCAGAATTCAAATTAATTTTTCCCCGTTTTTTTTTAGGTAATTGACCCTTCCTAAATAGTCCACCGGGACCGGCGGTTTGGTCTCTTCTTTGAAACTTTTTACAGTTTTTCGCAAAATAGCCAATACATTTTAATCTAGCATCTGTTGAATGCTCTTCTATTGCCTCCAAAATTCCAACGAATTTTGAGAATTTTTAATGGCTCCCACTCGATGTCCGGGAAGCTGGGGATCTGATCTCTCCTTTGAAATTTTTAACATTGTCTGGCAAAATATTGATTAATTCTAGTCAATAAATTCCAGTTTATCCTCAGTTAAAGTTAAAATATAAATTCATCCTTATCACAGATGTTTCCGAATACGAAGAGATATCTGGGAATCTAGCCAAGCTAGTTAAATTACGATTTTTATTTTAACAGGCAATGAATTTTAATGGACTTTAGTTTAAATACATATGGAGAACGCCTAAAAGTATGCTGTACAATGTGAAAAGGCCTCTTTACATAGGGCTTGAACATGATGTGTAAATACAGGAGTTTTCCAATAGGAATTATATTATTCGACAGAGATTCGGGAAGAAAAATATCGATTCCATTGATAGTGACTGACCCTCTCTAGATTTTCCACCGGAACCGGGAATATATGGCCTCTCCTTTGAAACTTTTAACATTCTTTAACATATATTCACTCTAGCCACTAGAGTTCAATCTGGCATGCTCTTCTACTACCTTCAAAATTCAAAGGAATTTTTCAAAATTTTTTATGACCCTCCCTCGATGTCCAAAGAGCTGGGGGTCTGATTTCTCGTTTGAAATTTTTAAGTTTGTTTGGAAAAATATTCATTGATTCCAGTTAAAAAATTCGAGGCTAGTCTCTGTTAAAGACAACATTTACATTTATCCTTATCGAAGATATTTCCGGACACGAACAGATATCTTGGATTCTAGCGAAGCTGGTTTGTGTATTTGCTAATTAAATTATGATTTTTATTTTAACAGGCAATATATTTTGTTGGACTTTTAAATATCGATACCATTGTTTCCTTTTAATTTAGGCAAATTGTGGGGAACGCCTAAAAGTATGCTACAAAATGTAAAAAAGGTCACCTTACATATGACATGAACATAATGTGTAAATGTAGGATTTATACAATCTGAATTATATTATTCGATATGGATTCGGGAAGAAAATATCGATACCATCGATAGTGTCATCGATTTCGTGTCCGTTCTCTCCTTTGTTGAATCTAGACAATAAGTTTCAATCTAGGCTCTGTTGAATTTAATTGCCTTCAGAACTCAATGGAATTTCTCTAGGGTTTCTTTATAGAATTTTTGGTGACTCTTCATAGATAGTCCAGGGACTGATATATACATATAGTCCACGACAGAGACTAGACCTCCGATCTCTTCTACAGAATTTTTAAACTTCTTTGTCAATATACTGAATCTATCCAATAGGTTTCAATCTCGCTTTTGTTTAATGTTTTTTTTTTGCCTTCAGAATTCAAAGGCATTTTCCTTAGATAGTACAGGAGAAGGGGGGCCTGGTCTCCCCTTTAAATTTTTTAAAGATCTTTGCTAAGAAATCGATTGATTGATTCTACTCTAGCCAATAAATTCCAATCCAACCTCTGTTGAAAGCAGAGTTTTTAATTGAATTTATCTCCCCTTCCTCCTACCCCTCCCTTTGCAGATTCCTCACCCCTCTCAATGTAATTACATCATGCCAATAACCTGACTCATTTATACAAAACCTTGTCATAATTCTCCAAGTGTTTATATCATCATCAATTGGATCTGCCGCAAAACCAACCATGCAACGGATATTGGCTAATTATAACACATAATTACACACACTCACACATACACACACTCTCTTAAGTACTCATTATATAACATCAACTTAAATCTACTTTTAAAATAAAAAAATATGGAAACGAATCTTGTGTTTATTTTTCAAACCTTTATTTGTTTACTGGACTGACGCGAAAACAAACGAAACGAGTTCGGTGTGTCGATGGTATGTTGCCGCGAGAGGCCCAAATTTTTGGCCACACTACTTTGACGGCCCCAGGGTAGGGAGATTTTTCGACGATTTTTAATCGGCTTATTGTTTGCTGTGGGCGTGGTGACCGTCGTCGGAGTTGAGTTGGTGTTCGAGGTGGTGGTGGTGGTAAAATCAAAGGCCGATATAAACGACTTTTCAGCTGGTACACTGGCTGGAGCCGTATTGGGCGTTTGGGTCTGAGGAGTTGAGGAATTGCCATAATCTTCGGTGTATTTGACGGGTGATTCATCACCATCACCACCCGATACCGAGGTACCCGTTGACGTTTCATCGTTTTGTTTTTGTTGTTTATCTTTATCTTTGTTGTTGGCCAATGACGGATCATTGCCGGAATGATCGATGCTACTTAGACGTTCAACGAAAAAATTCTTAACACTTTTCATTGTGGACGGTTCTTTGATTTTGTTTTGTTGGGGGGTTTTTATTTATTTTTGTTTTGTTTTTTTTAATTTTTGAAAAAAAAAATGTTTTTTTATTTTTTTAAAACTTTGAAATAAAAATTTTCTTTGGTGATTTTTTTTAATTGGGTGTTTGTTGGGTTAATTTTTTTAGATTATTTTATTTACTTATTTATTTTTTTAATTTAATTTTTGTTGTTGTTTTTTTTTTTGATTTTTGAAAATTTGTTCGAAAATTTGAATTTTTTTTTTATTCATTTATTAGAATATTTTATTTACTTATTTATTTTTTTTAATTTAATTTTTGTTGTTTTTTTTTTGATTTTTGAAAAATTGTTCGAAAATTTGAAAATTTATTTTTTTATTTTTGTTTTTTTTTTTTAATTTTTTTTGTGGCTTTGGTATTTTTGTTTTTTCTTTTCTAATTTCTTTGGTGTTTTTTTTTTTCAAAATTTCTTTGGAGTTTTTTTTTTATTTTATTTTAAAAATAAAAAAATGATTTTTGAAAATTTGTTCGAAAACTTGAAAATTATTTATTTTTAAGATTTGGTGCCTTTGGTATTTTTGTTTATTTTTTCTAATTTTTGGGTGTTTTTTTTTCAAAATTTATTTGGAGTTTTTTTTTTTTAATTTGGTATTGAGAATTTTCTTTGGATTTTTTTTATTTTATTTTAAAAATAAAAAATAATTTTTGAAAATTTGTTTGAAAACTTGAAAATTTAATTTTTGGTGGCTTTGGAAATTTGTTTTTTTTTTCTAATTTCTTTGGTGTGTTTTTTTTCTAATTTTTTTTTTTTAATTTCTTTGGAGTTTTTTAATTTAATTTTTTTTTTTTTTTTTTTGAAAATTTGGTATTGAAAATTTTCTTTGGAATTTTTTTTCTTTTTATTTTTTATAAATTTATTTGGTGTTTTTCTTTACTTATTTTTTCAAAATTTCTTTGGATTTTTTTATTTTTATTTTATTTATTTTTTTTTTTTTTTGAAAATTTGGTATTGAAAATTTTCTTTGATATTTTTTTCTTTTTATTTTTTTATAAATTTATTTGGTGTTTTTCTTTATTCTTTTCAAAGTTTCTTTGGATTGTTTTTTATTTATTTATTTATTTATTTATTTTATTTATTTATTTATTTATTTTATTTATTTATTTTTTTATTTTTTGAAAATTTGGTTTTGAAAATTACTTTGGTATTTTTTTTATTTTACTTTATTTTATCTTTGGTGTTCCGTTTTTATCTTTGGTTTTGTTTTAATCACTCATTGAATTCCATGAATTCTTTGGGGGGATTTTTTTCTTTGGTGTTTTTTTTTTTTTTTTTTTTTTTTTTTTTGGTCTCAAAATTACTTTTAGAGCCTCTTGGCAAAATTCTTGACTCCACTAGAATTTGGTTGGTTTCTTTTTATTAGAGTTTGTAAATTTCAACTTCTGGCCCAGCATGCCGGCACGTTAAGCCTCCTCTCTGCATGGTACTGAGAGCATTGATTTTATTTATCCAAAAGATTTATTCTTCTTCTTCTTCCATTTGCTACTTTCTCATTAAATTTCAATTAACTCAGCATAGTGGCAGCCAACAACTGAAGAATATTAAAAGAATCCCACAATTGTTATTTTTATTAGCATTTTAGTCTTTAACGTTGTGGTTGTTATTGCGGTGGTCGTGGTTGTTATTATTGTTGTAGTGGAACCTACATACACACACACACATATGAGTATGTGGTAATTTGTGGCTTTCCGCCAAGCTAGGAAATTATTCATCCAAAGAGTAACAGAATGACTTGCATACATACAAACACACACACAGAAAGAACCGGACTTGAACTTAACAACAATCAGCATATTTTGGGCCACAAGGATGGTCACCAACATCCTCGTCATCATCGTCAGCAACACCATTAACTAACTGACAACCGACCTTCCTCATCATTTTGGTCACGTTATTTCCAAAGGGATACTCATTCATTTACTCACTTAAGTCACAACGATGAAATGACCTTGACAATTACAACAACAAGAAATGTTGATAACAGAGTTGGTACGACAACCAGACCAGGGATGGGAAGTTGAAAAAACAAAGTGATTTATAATAGTGATTTTACAAAGTGATTTATAATAAACCAATTAAAAAATGACTTTCATAGAATAGGTACCCACAGAGACCATAACAAAAAGTTTTGAGGATTTCAGCCCTGTCCCTTCACCCTAAATCCTGATTTAGTGCCATTTAGGACTTTTCGAACAATTATAGAACACATTCTCAAAATCACCTTCATATCCCTATTCCAGATACCAACACAGACCTTAATATCAATTTTCAGGATTTTTGTCCCATTGCCCGATTTAGAACCATTTAGGACTTTTCGTGTACGTATTGTACACATTTCCAAAATCATCTCCATATCTCAATTCCAAATGCCAATAGAGAACCCAATGTCAAATTTGAGGATGCCAGATCCATTCCTTCACCCAATATCAAATTTAGTACCATTTAGTACATTTTCGTACAATTGTGGTACACATTCCCAAAACCTCCCCATAACTCAATGCCAGATACCACACACACACATACACCTCAATATCAAAATTCGGGGTTTTAGCCAAATTTGCTAGACCCAATGCCCGATTTAGTACCGTTTAGGACTTTTCGTACAAATATAGGAAGCATTTTGAAAACACTTTCAAATCTCAAGCACAGATACCCTCAGTAATCTAAATATCAAATTTCAGAATAATATTTTTATTCCTTCACCCAATATTAAATTCTGTACCATTTAGTACTTTTCGTACAATTATGGCACACATATCTAAAAACACATCAATATCTTAATTTTAAATACCAACAGTGACCTCAATATCAAATTAGAGAATTGCAGCTCTATCTCTCCACCCAATATCAAATTTGGTACTATTTTGTACATTTCGTACAATTATTGCACACATTTCCAAACCACTGCCTAATATGAAACACAGATACCAACAGTAACCCAAATATCAAATTTCAGAATTTTACCTCTATCCCTCCACCCAATACCAATTTTTGTACTATTTAGTACATTTCGTACAATGATAGTACACATCTCCACAACCACCTCCATATCTCAATTCCAAATGCTAGCAGAGACCTCAACATCAAATTTTCAGAATTTCACCTCAATTCCTTCATCCAATACTAAATTTAGTACCATTTAGTACTTTTCGTACAAATATGGGACGCATTTCGAAACCATCTCTAAATCTCAAACACAGATACTATCAGTAATCTACATATCAAATTTCGCAATTTTATCTCTATCCCTTCACCCAAAATCAAATTTAGTACCATTTAGTACTTTTCGTACAATTATAGTACACATTTCCGAAACCACCTCCATATATCCAGGCTACACTTCAACAGCGACCCCAAGACCAAATTTTGAAATTCAAGCACATTCTGTTCACCCAATACAAAGTTGTACCAAATATAGTACTATTTAGTACTTTTCGTGCACTTGTAGTACATATTTCCAAAACCACCCCTTTATGACAAAACCCACAACCTATGGGGACCCCAATACAAAATTTTTCAAATTCCAGCTTCATCCGTTCACCCTAAACCAAACTTTTCCCAATTTAGTACAGTTTGTACACTTAGTACAAATTTCACACAGACCACCTTCATATATCAAACTTACTTTCCAACCTTGATTCTCATACCAAATTTCAATTTTTTTAGCTCTATCCGTTCACATAACACCAAATGGTAGCATTTTAAAAGCTTAGTACCATTTTAGATCTTTTCGTAACCTTAAAGTTCAAGTTTCCAAAAACCCTTTGGTACATCTATCCTGCACTGCATCAGTTATAAATTTCAGAATTCTAGCTCATTCCGTTTGTCCAAAGTATTAAATTTTTTGAATATTTTAGTGTCGTACTCTTTTAGTACCGTTGATTCTCAGTCAGAATTTCTAGAGGACCTCTCCTACCGATAAAAAACTTCTATGAATCTCCACGAGTCCTTTAGACTTTTTCCATAGAGAGTAGAGATGATTTGGATCTCCTACAGCAAAAAGAGAGTCTTCTTCCTTCCTTCAATTGGAAGACCTTCCCATGGTTTCCTTAGATTCAAGATACTCTATATCTTTTTATGGATAAGGACCTCAGAATTGCTCAATAGGTAAAATACCTTCACACTTCTGTAAAGAGCTCTTCCATATTTTTTTTATCGACAAAAGAAATGCCAAACATCATCACTTAAGATACACTCAATAGACTATTTGTCTGCCTCATTACTTACAAATGCTTCCTTAGTACATTTTTTGTAGATACGAATTTCCCAACGCTGTTCTATTATATTTATATTTTACCTATTGGTCCTTCGTTGTGTTATTCTTATCGAAATTCATAAATAAATTTGAAAATGTTATGCAAACTTCTCCCTCTCTATATGACTCTCCCTTCCTTTCTCTCTCTATCTCTCTCTCTCTCACTCTCTCTCTATAGAGTTCCTGGACATATGATTAATATTAATCGCTTGACACTTGAACGTATGATTAATGCTAAATAAAAGGAAATCGCTCATACTTTTGGGTATTAAATGAAATTTTGTAGCAACGAGTATTGGTTGGGGGAGGGGTTTGAATTTGCATTAATACATTTCCCATCATAACAATATTTTGAGGAATAAATCTCTGAATTTAATTGTAAATTATCAAACCACAAAACCAAAGGCTTCCAAATGACACAAAGAAGAATTCTGAGAAGAATTTCAATAGGTTTTTTTCTGAAGATCTTGAAGATTTTATGAGCAACAATAATTCTAGGTATGAAAGTATTTTAAGCGATGAAAAAAATCCCATCCAGGGAGTATTTTTAAATCTGTAGAGATAACATTGAGCTTTTTGAGTCTATATGCCCCTGAATATCGTAAACTTTTCTAGGAACATTTTGGGGGAGAATCTTCGTTTATTTAGAGACACAGATATTTTCTAAGGTTATACAAAGGTATTTGCTTTTAAAAAATGCTGATATTTTAAAATTTATAAATCAACATGCAACAAAAACTCTGCAACACAAAAAATATTTTAGCAAAAATCCAGCAGATTATGAAAATAGGGCTAAAAATAGAAGAAAAGTGTTTCGACGTTTTGAGACTTTACAACGCAAAGTAACCTAAATAAAAGAAGACCTTAGGTCTCTTTGGACCAAATCCATTTCAGGACATTTGGAATCGATCTAGAGGTATCCGTCCGTCCGTCTGTCTGACTGGCTGGTGCACACAATAACACTCGATTGGAGTATCCAATTTTATCCAAACTTAGTACATCGTAAAATGATTGTTCGGAGATGGGCAACATAGGTGCAAATAATTTAACATATAGAAAGTGAAAGGATCATTCGGTATTTTTGTAAGCAAAATACAGTTCGCATTTATTGCCCGATCCAAATGAAATTTTGCACAAATCATTTGTTTGGCCCAAGGACGAACCCTATTGAAATTGGAGATAATCAGTAAAAATTTATATATAGCTCCCATATATATCTTCGTCCGATTTGCCTTTTATTGTGCACCAAACGTGTAATATCGACCCAAATAGTATGGAATTTTGCATATACAATCAAATTAAGCCTGAAAATAAGTATGCCAAATTTGATCGAAATCAGTTATAATACGACCGAATTGAGTCTAGAAGCTAGTATGCTAAATTTGGTGAAGATCGGTTCAGATATAGCTACAGCTCCCATAAATATTGTTCATCCGATTTGTTGTATTTGTTACCCACAGCGGTAATATGCACTCAGTAACAACGATATTCAGGGAAATATATGAAATACAGCTCAGAAATATATTTGCCAAATTTTATCGAGATCGGCGGATATAGCTCCCATATATATATTTTTCCGATTTCAAATTAATTGTGCACCAAATGGGCAATACAAGTCCGAATTTAAAAGATACAAATGCTTCGGCATATTTAGTCTTTTGAACTTTAAATTATAATTATAATAATAGCGTGTATGATTGAATTCTCCCATAAAAACGTTTAATTGTTATGTGGAGCTCTACTAAATTAGCAAAGTGGTGTAGGGTATCATAAAGTCGGCCCCGCCCGACTTTAGGACATCTTTACTGGTTTTATTTTATTTTTTATATTAGTTTTTTATTTTATTTTATTTATTTATTTTATTTTATTTTTCTATTTAATTCTTTTGTTTTATTTTTTTATTTTATTTTATTCATTTCATTTTTTGTAAAAAAAACTGCATTTTCATACTTATGCACATTGTGGCGAATGATGATAAATTTCAATTATGTATGACACGTGGGCGTATGATTAACGTAGTAATAATAACATAGCTCATACGACACCACGTACTTTACACATCTCTCGTAGAAATCCCCTTTAAAAAAATCACAAAAAACAACAACAAAAATTTCTTCAATATACATTTTCAATTAATCAATGATATTCAAAATCCCCCAATATATACCTGTGCAAACATTGAACAAACGTGTGTGTGCATACACACACGAACACTCGCTCACTCGCTCACTCACTCACTCATTTAATTAACGTTTAACGAACAATGTTAAAACAAT